TTACCAATCTATATTAAAAAAACAACCGTATTCAAAATTTTAAGTAACCCCCGACACAAAAAAATCCTCTCAAAAATAGAACAATAAAATTTCTCTTTTGGCCTTTTAACTTCATTAAGTAGTAAGTACCTTTTAATATTTTTAACCCCCGACGCAAAAAGAGGGGTGTTATAAAGTTTGACATCGATGTCTGTCTGTGTGTGTGTGTGTGTGTGGCATCGTAGCTCCCAAACGGATGGACCGATTTCGATGCGGTTTTTTTCATTTGAAAGCGGCGGTCCTTGCGGTGGTCCTATGTTTGGTTAATATCGGTCCAGCAGTGTAAAAGTATCAGCAGGGCCGGATTTAACCTTAGCGCCGCCCCTGGGCACAGTAACAATGCCGCCCTATTATCATGACTATGATTGCTGAACAGCAAAAAGTAAATAAATCCGCAAAATAATCCGAAAGATAGTTTTATTTAAAATGTACCAACTAGTTCATCTTTTTATATTTTTCATTTTTTGTAAAATAAAAAAAGCATTTTCGATAACGCGAAGAAAAAAAAATTTCACCCTCCGAATTTTGCCGCCCCTAAAAATTTGCCGCCCTGGGCACTAGCCCCGGGTGCCCCTTGTGTAAATCCAGGGCTGAGTATCAGCTCTTTTCCACAAGGATGTAAGGCATTTTGTCGTATGATTACTCGATTAAGTGCTACACGCGTGCCAGTGTTATCGTTAAATGACAATTAAGTTGCGTGGGGGGTTTTTAAATTTTTTAATTTGTAATATTATTTGTATTCTGCTTTTAATTTTATTTACTTAGCGGTGGAAAATTTTATGATCTTCAATAGGACGAGTGTCACAGGTCACAACAAAATACGTTATCAGTGCTGGAGATTGTGGGTTTTTGGGTTTTTGGAATCCCATCTAAATTCTCCGAAAAATAAAACTAGATAAACTAATTTAAGACATTTTTATTATGGTAATGCAGTTTTGTGATATAATAGATTTTCATGTGCGAATTATTTCTAACATAACATTCGGTGTAGGAAAACATCGTGAGGAAACCTGCATGTCTGAGAGAACTTAGCAAGTTTTCGAAAGACATGCTCAGTCCGCCCGCACTTGGCTAACGTGGTGGACTATAGCCTGATCCACCTCGTATTGAACATAGGTGAGTGCCCAGCAGTGGGAGGTAAAGAGCTGAATCATTGGGTACATATTATCTATAGAGATAAATAAAATTGAAGTGTCCGTTTATAATCTCAGAATAACAGCTTTTACTAAACGCGTATGAAACTATATACGGTACTTATAAGAAAAAACAGTTTTTAAAATTTTTGTCTGTCTGTCTGTTTGTTCCGGCTAATCTCCGAAACGGTTGGACCAATTTTGACTGGATTTTTACTGACAAATAGCTGATGTTACAAAGAGTAACTTAAGGCTACTTTAATTATAGAAAAAGAATCAGGTTTCCGCGCAAAAAAATTAAACTCCATGAAATTTTGAACAAAATCGAACATAGAACGCACCCGAACGAAACGAGGGTAAGGCGCTAGTACATAATCTATACATATAATAAAATTGTAACTGAGCCGAATCTGTACATTAGATATTTTTTGGAAAATCTTATTAAAATAAACATTATTATCGATACAGAGGCCGAATCTATAGTTTTTAGAATTTTTGTCTGTCTGTCTGTCTGTTACCGCATCACAGAAAAACCGCTAGCTGGTTATCCGGGTGAACATATAGGATACTTTTTACCGCGGGAAAATATCTAATTTCTGAGAAAAAATACAAAAACTGCAATGTAAGAGTATACTAATATGTAAAACCTAAGAATTTGGTTTTTGGTCATCTGAACTCGAACTGAATACTATTAACAATTTTGTGGTAAAATTTTGTTTATTCATGTCGTAACACGTCTTTCCAGTGCCCAAATCACATATTACACATGAAGACATTGAACATAATCGTTTTCTTTGAAACTTTAATTTAATATTTGTAGCGTCTGGAAGTATGCCAGGAATCAGGTCTTGTAAATATTTGTGAGACTTGCGGCTAATATATATAATAGATGACTAATTTTGGTGAAGTGTCGATAGATGCCTATTCGATTACTGTTTGAAGTAATTTAATTTTTTTTCTTTACTTTTTTTTAGAGTTTTCGCATAACAGCATTTTATTCACTGACATTAAAAGAGTGTATCGATATAGTACGTGGTATATTCAAACAAAGATGACGAAAGAATATATATATTTCTGAGAAAAAATACAAAAACTGCAATGTAAGAGTATACTAATATGTGAAACCTAAGAATTTGGTTTTTGGTCATCCGAACGCGGGCGGAGCCGCGGGCAATGCTAGTTTAACATATAATATTGTTTCTCTCAGTCTAAAGCAACATAATTGATTCTAGATAGTTAAAATATAAATAAACTTTTCAAGAATATCTATCGTTTATTCTATCGAATGAAAGATATTTATTGGCTACTGTGTTTTCTCATCGTCAGTACACAGATGTATGGAGTCAAATGAAATACTACTTCATGTTGAAACGGCTGGTCCGATTTGGATGTAATTTGGTAAACAGATAGACTTTTTTTTTTTAATTTTTTTAACGTTGGGAAATGCATTTACGCACGAGGTGAAGGACTCACCGGCAAGGCCAGTACTACCCACTAAAACCCAACAAAGCCTTCCCCCGTCTTAATGGGGCGTCGCAGGATCGCTTACGCATTCAACTACGACGCCCCGACGGCAGGTCTGCCGAAGCACACCACAACAACCACGGGGTTGCTCCACAGTCCACTCTGCTATCAGAGAAGTACCAGGAGCAACCCGCATGGTACACCGCCCTCCGAAGTGGGCCAACTCCCTGTGCGTTTCTTGGCTTTGCGCCCGGTTGGGTTGCCGGGCACTACTGAGCCCCCCCACCACGACAAGGTGAACGCACGTTGGGGGGGGGGGGGAAACATATAGACTATAGTCTCGGGATCTCATCCCTAACAAAGAAAAATTTACCTCAGTCTCTCCCGTGACCGTGATTGCTGTAATGCATTCGAAACGTCGGGAACCAAAAAACAAAATAAATCCGCGAAATAATCCGAAAAGATACCTAATGTTATTAAAACATAAAAATTAGTTCATATAAATGTAACTACATGACGTTACATGTATCGATTTGTTATTAAAGTTGTGTTTATAAACAAAAGATAAAAAAATAGATCCCAAAAAGGTAAATTACCGTTTAGTCTATGTAGATTTCTCAGAGATGAGATATTTTCCCGCAGTAAAAAGTATCCTATATGTTGACCCGGATAACCAGCTATCATCATACCAATTTTCATCATAATCCCTCCAGTGGTTTTTCTGTGATGCTGTAACAGACAGACATAGATCTATCGATATATCGATAATAGTGAGTATTTCAATAAGGTTTTTAAAAAATATTTAATGTACAGATTCGACTTAGAATTTCATTATGTGTAGGAATACCTAGATTGTTTTAGAATTATTCTAATTTCTAAGTAATGCGAAAATAAATAACGCGCTCATAAATCAAATTTGATGATGTTACGTACAAGCTATCTTATATTCGGTTAATCTATACTAATATTATAAAGGGGTAAAGTTTGAGCTTGTGAATTTTTGTCAGGTTGTAGGGGGTAATCTTTGGATCTACTGAACCGATTTAGATGAAATTTTATGAGAAGATAGTTTAGAGTCCCTAGCTTGCCTCACAATCTCCTGACCGATTCCGGCCACGGCGGCCAATCTCATTGAGACTAGCCAACTGCGCAGGAGATATTATAGTGCAGCGCGTGTGAGGGAGAGCGCAGACACAACGTGCACTCTCTATTCCTGTCACTCTCATACTCCGGTGGGACGACACGAGACACGACCGGTGAGAGTTAAGGCGCAGGACCGACGGCTTTACGTGCTCTCCGAGGCACGGGGGTGAAACACCGCCAACTTCCCAACTCCGGGCTGTTACTGAGGCTTACTATATAGAAAGACTCGATAACTAAACTTGGCCCGAAACGGGACTCGAACCCAGGACCTCCGGGTGTGCAGCCGTACATGCTAGCCACTACACCACCGAGGCAGTAGAGTAATCCCTCAACGACCGCGGACATTCCGGCGTTACAGTTAACAAAAGATTTCTTAGAAATTTTATTAATTTCTTAGAAATTTACATGGAGGTGTTAAAAAAATAAATAAAAACGTTTAAAAACTTCTTTAATTCACATTTTCACCTATTTACATTAAAGAAATTCATTTCAATATAAAACATCATTAACCAATATAATTTAAAAAAAAATTAAATCTAGGCCATATTCGAGGGTTTACAAATTTTTATATTATCATCATGGAAATAATACTTTCTTATATGTACACAAATATTTGACCTTTTAAATTAAATCAATTTTTTATACATATAATAAAATTGTAACTAAGCCGAATTTGTACATTAAATATTTTTTGGAAAATCTTATTGAAATAAACATTATTATCGATACAGAGGCCGAATATATAGCTTTTGGAATTTTTGTCTGTCTGTCTGTTACCGCATCACAGAAAAACCACTGGAGGGATTTTGATGAAATTTGGTATGATGATAGCTGGTTATCCGGGTCAACATATAGGATACTTTTTACAGCGGGAAAATACGTGTCTATACGTTGACCCCGATAACCAGCTATCATCATACCAAATTCCATCAATATCTGTCCAGGGGTGTTCTCGTCATGCGGTCACAAACAGACAGACAAAAATTCTCAAAGATAGATAAATTCTCAAAGATTAATAGATTCGGCGTCTGTATCGATAATAATGACTATTTGAATAAGATTTTCAAAAAAAATATTTAATGTACAGATTCAACTCAGAATTTTATTATATGTATAGATGATTCTTATATATAGCATTAATAACTAAAACATTCATTTCTTGACATATTAAATTAAAACAAAAAAAATCCATACAACAAACTCAAATATTAGTATTTCTCACATCTTCGGTTTCACAGATGGTTTTTTAATAAATCCTGAAAAATAAAAGAATGAATGAAATTAAACTTTATTTACATAATACTTTTTTAAATTTACGCAAATAATTGACATTCTAAATAAAACTATATTTACAGGGTTTTTTTTGCATCTAGAATAACAAAAACAAGTCTATCCCACGGGAACCGTAATATTTCCGGGATAAAAAGTAGCCTATGTGTTATTCTGATGTATGAGCTATATTATTGTAAGGTTTCATTAAAATCCATTCAGTAGTTCTTGCGTAAAAGTGTAACAAACATCCATACATCCTCACAGACTTTCGCATTTCTAATATTAGTAGGATTTTGGTTCCCGACATTTCGAATGCTTTACAGCGCACGTGGTCACGGGAGAGATTGAGGTTTTAGACGTCTCAAACGGTCATTATCATATATGTAGTTGTTACTGACACACAAAATTACACAATTTTTCAAAAATTTTATAAATTTTTGAAAATCATTCAATCAATTTTCAACCCTTTCTTTTGTTTTTTTTTTGTTTACGCTACGGGGAAACCCATCATGGGGACCCTACCAATAAATTTTTAAGCTTAGTCTAAGTCATAAGATTTATTTTTTAATGAATAAACAAAACAATTTTCGAACTTAAAGCGGTCAAATAATTCGGTAAAAGTAAATGGCGAAAGCTTGTATGTGTGTACGTTTGTTTGTTTTGTTGCTCCTACAGGCTGTATCGGCTGGACGGATTAGGATGAAATTTTGTGCACAGATATATTAGCTTTTCGCAGCGCAAGCTCAATAATGGCTACTATAAGCAAATTTTTGATACCTTAGGTTTACATTATTGCAATTTTCGTGGGGATCTCTAATTTTTTTGAAAATAAAATATGGTCCAAGTCTCTCGCTGATAATGTAGTGTTGTGATAAGTGAAAGAAATATTAAAATTGCTCCAGTAATTTTTTAAGTTTCCGTACCCGAAGGGTGCCAATGGAACCCTATTACTAAGCTTTCCTTCCGTCTGTCAGTGGACTGTATCTCATGAACCGTAATAGGTAGAGAGTGTGTATTTCTATTGTTGATAACACCAAATAATAAAAAACCAAGATGGCGAATTTCAAAAAGGCTGCCATGCAAATTTCAAAAAAATCGATTTGGCATGGTACTGAAGATGTGTGCTAGTCCGACTCGCACTTCACCGAATTTTTAGTTCATCCATCACATACAAAAAAAAACTATTTTTCTCTTTATAATATTAGTATAGATGAGCTGATATAACACATAGATTACTGTTAAGCTATAAAATTTTCACTTACTCGGACTTAGCCTTAAAATATTCTTCTTAATCTCAGAAGATTTTATCCTCTGTGGGATTTTTGTACTGTTTTTATCACTTTGCTTGGAAACGGACAAAACGTTCTTCATTACACTTATTTTTGTACTTATATTTGTTTTGTTCTTCATTATTTTTGGTGAAATTATTTTTTTCTTACTGGCAATGTTTGGTTTGTTGGCAACACTGTCCGGTTTTGAGAAGCGCTGCATTAAATTTTGACTTTTTATCTCCTCAGTGTTGCTATCCTTTGAAATATGATTTTTTTTGTTTATTTCCGAATTAGTTGAGATTTTTTGGATTTTTTCAAAATTCTTATCATTTTTTAGTTCCGTTTTGGATTTTTTTGATGCAATTACATTATCGATGTTCAATTTAGTTTTCATATTTTTCTTTTCATTTTGATTTTTTTTGATTTCTTCATTTACATTTTCATTTTTATTTGAATCTTTTTCGTCAGTTGATTTTGTGAATGTTTCATTATTATTTACTTTATTTTTGTTATTATTTGGCTTTAATTTATCTGTATTTTTTGAAGTGACCACATTATTTATATTTTTAGATTTAGCATCAGATTTTGTCAGGTTTTTATTCTTACTATCTACTCCCATATCTTCCTTGGCTATAGAATTTAAATTATTTTTAACGTTTTTTGTAATTATTTTATCAGATTTTGAATTAATATCTTTCATGGTTTGTTTTCCATCTTTTCTATTACCAACATTTTTATTTTTTAAATTATCTTTATTGTTTTTTGTATTTATATTGTCAGATTTTGAATTAATCTCATTTGTTACTTCGGTAATCTCATTTTTGCTTTTGTCATCTTTATCTTTTAAATTAGTTTCATTAGTTATATCTTTCTTATTCATTTTGTTATTAATATCCTTATTATTTAAATTGTTTTTATCGTTTTTTGAAGTCACACTTCCGGACTTTGAATTCATGTCATTCGCGATTTCTTTATTATTTTTTTTATTATTGACGTTTTTATTTTTTAAATTATCTTTATTATTTTTTGAATTTATATTTTCAGATTTTGAATTAATATTATTAGTCTTTTCATTATTTTCTATTGTATTACTAACATCTTTCTCTTTTAAATTGTTTTTATCGTTTTTAGAAATAACAGTTTCAGATTTTGAATTAATATCGTTTCTTACTTCTGTGGTATCTTTTTTACTTTTAGCTTTTTTATTTTTCAAATTATCTTTCTCGTTTTTCGAACTTGCAACACTATTTTTATTTTCATTTTTAGCACTAGTTTGGTCTTTGCTGTTTTTATCATTTATTGTTGAAGATTTATTTTCTTTAACATCCTTTTTGTCAGTTTTTGAGCTGATTTTAGATTTTTTGATAACATTTTCATTATTTAAATCTTTATCATTGCTATCTTCTTCCTTTTTTGAATCAGTGTTGCCATCTTTAGCTGCTGTACGTTTAGAATCAATGCAGTTTGATTTAGAAGCGATATTGCTATTAGCATAAGAATTTTTACTTTCTTTAGTACTTCCATCGTTTTTTGGATTCATTGATTTTTTAATCTTTACTTTATCAGCAGCTTTAGAAACACTGTTCTTAGATTTCAAATCACTTTTTTCAATCATTGAGTTCAAATCCTCATCCCTTCCTGTATTATAATCATTAAAATTTTCTTTATTATCAATTTTGGCTCTTTTCGATGTACCACCACCATCTTCAATAGGTCGTTTCTTGTTAGGTTTCACCTTTTTGGGTATAGTTTTAGGGGGAGCCATGATTTCACTGTCTTTGGCATTTGTTTCAGCATTTTGATCTGTAAGTTTATCTGTGTCGGACTCGCTTTCAGTTACGGGCATATCTTTACGTGCTTGGAGACATGTGTTGATGATTTTAGCTAATAATAAAGTTCTTTCATCCGTCTCAACAGCCGGATCAGACAGCTGTCTGTGCGCTTGAGTTATTATTTTTACGTAGGATTCGTCTGGAAAAAAAACCGTTTTATAGATAAGAATTTCGTGTAATTAATGCTTGTGAGAATTTAAGTTCAATATTGCAGTTCAAATAATTTAAAAATTTAAAGGTATGAGTAATTTATGTTTATTTTTTAATTAAATTTTATATAGAGTTGCCAGAATATTGTTTCTTGTAGAATCAATTCCAAAAAAAATATATATTATTTAACAATCATTAATACACAATCGAACTTCGAAGTTGTATTTTAGATAACACAAAACAAAAAAAAAACTAAAATAATGAGATTATATATGAATTATATTCACCCATATATTCCAAGTCAAACTTCAGTCGGTGGTGAAATGGAGAGATGGGTGACCGTTTGTTTTGTAAAGTCCAAGAAACTTCTAGAAGATTCGCGCACTTCAGAATGTAGCCTCCTTCTGGCTGCAATTAAGTAAAATACTAATATTATACAATATTAAAGTCAAATCAAGAGTTTTAGGAATTTTTGTCCATCTGTTTCTATGTAATTTTCAATGTAAGTTTTATTTCGTAGAATTTCTTGATTATTTTTTATACTAGTGACGTTTTAACGTTTAGTATAGATTTCTCAGAGATGAGATATTATCCTGCAGTAAAAAGTCCTATATGTTGACCCGGATAACCAGCTACCATCACACCAAATTTCATCAAAATCCCTCCAGTGGTTTGCTCGTGATGCGTTCCTAGACAGACAGACAGACAGACAGACAGACAGACATAAATTCTAAAAACTATAGATTCCGCCTCTGTATCGATAATAATGACTATTTCAATAAGATTTTCCAAAAAATATTTAATGAGCAGATTCAACTCAGTTAAAATTTTGTTATATGTATAAATTATATCTATTTAATTTTTAATTGATAAATTCAATTCAACCACTAAGAGGGTAAAATATGGGATGAAAGTTTTTATGAAATCCACTTTTTAGAGTTTTTATTTGTAGTTTTAGCGCGAGCGAAGCCGCGGGTTCTGCTAGTAGTAGATAATTTAAAACATACGTGCGACTCGTCTATACTGAGTCAGTAATTCTTTTGATGGACAATGTGTACGCTTGTACAACAGGATCCCAGAAAATGTTCAAAAGGCTTCTATCGCCAAATTCAAAAAAAAATGTTAAAGAACGTTAGTGTGCTAAAGGCTATTATACAATAAATGATTTTATAGAAGATGGGACACCTTGGGAATGAAATGATTGCCTCCAGACTACTTAAATTCGATAGAAGCATTGTAAATGATAATTTTACTTTAAAAAAAGATTAAATATTAAGGCAGTGGTAGCCCAGAGGTAACGCGCTCGCTTGGGAAACCGAGTGAAGCGAGTTCAAATCCCGGGTCTCGCACTTCTGATATTTTCATGTGCGAATCATTTCCAACATGATTACCACTTGTCTTAACGGTGAAGGAAAACATCGTGAGGAAACCTGCATGTCTTAGAGAACTTAGCAAGTTTTCGAAAGCCATGTGAAGTCCGCCAACCCGCACTTGGCCAGCGTGGTGGACTATGGCCTGATCCCCCTCGTACTGAAGGGAGGCCCGTGCCCAGCAGTGGAACGTTAAAAAGGGCTGAATACAGTAGACTCATGACGTTCAGTCAAAAATTGTAATAATTTAATGCTGAATAAAATATTTTGAATTTGAATCACCATGGGCTCCATGAATAGCGCGTCTGCGTATCTCTCCGCGAGGCGCGCGAGTGTGGAGCGCCGCGAGCGGTGCGCGCGCGCGTACTGTCCCACCACCTGCAACACCCACGTACAGTGTGTATTGTTTATATTTACAATAATGGAAATTAAAAACATTCATACACTCTGTTACACACACATACAAACAGACCTACACCCATACACACCGACAGCCACCCATCCACATACACACACACACACAGTACAGTTACGACAGTAGCGCCAGCGCTCCTCGAGCGAACTCCCAAACTTGGCTTTAGGCAATGAAAATAAAAAATACCTCCACAGCATCACTCGGAGTCTTCACAGAGGGCAACACGGAATGCATCAGCTCTTGCTCATGAGCCGTCTTCACTGGAGTCACTTGGAGACATCGGTATTGTGGTGAACCAAATAGACGTTTCTGGAATAAGGAAAAACAAATATGAACAGCATGCAAAAATTACATTAATAAACAATTTAAATACATCTTTTTAATATCATTATTATTCATTATCTTTATTTATACTAATATTATAATGGGGATTTTTTTTGTTTATTTGTTTGTACCGAATAAGCTACGAAACTACTCGACCGATTTAGATGAAATTTAGTAAGACGATAGTTTGAGATTCTGGGAAAAACATAGGATTTGTTTTTATCCCGGAAATCATCCTTTAAGAGGGTGAAAAAGGGGATGAACGTTTGTATTGGAGACCAATCTAGGGATGAAACCCTTCAGATGTAAAAATAATAAGTTACTATAGTGTGGTGTACGAACAGTATATTAACAACATTAAATGGTATAAACTTTAATTTTTCAATACCATTTTCATCAAAACTCATTCAGAAGATTTTGCGTGAAAGAACAACAAACATCCATCTATCCTACCAAATTTAAATTCAAAACATTAGTATAAATTATTTATATCAATGGGATAGGAAGTAGGTTTAAAATAATATAGGATTTGAAGATAGGTTAAAGAAACGTAGAAACATATAAAAAAAACAACTTACAGGATGATGCACATAAAAAGTCATAGAGAATGGTACGAGATCAACTCTGCACTCGGCTGTCACTTCCTTCCATACACCAGCCTCTTTGACTGGTGGCTCCCTGGATAACAAAATGTTTAAAATTAACAAATATTGTAAGGTACTTTGGTGCAATATTTGTATTTTTATATATTCATTGTGTAATTTAGTGGTTAGGCACTGTCTTTAACAACTATGTAATGAAATTTGAGACGTCTAAAACCTTAGTCTCTCCCGTGACCATGATTGAACCAAAAATCAAAATAAATCAGCAAAAAAATCGAAAGGATAGTTTCATTTAAAATGTGATATATTTGTGTAAATCTAAGAAAGTATTAAATAATAAAATAAATCAAAAGTTTTCTTTCATGTGGGAAAACACCCTTCATGTGACAAACCTAGGATACAAAAAATACACAAATGAGTTAACAAAGGACAAAAAAAAATTCCTTATTATCATCAACAGGACAGGATGAAATAAGATAAGGCTGTCATTACATGGTATTTGTTACTAAAAAGTAAAGATTAATTTTATTTTTTGATGACAGATTTGGATCAGTTTGAAGTGGACCTACTTGCTGTGCCAGCGATCGTGGATTCGAGTCCCACTGGAGGCATTCATTTTTGTTATGAGCATGAATGTTTGTACTCTAGTTATGGGTGTTTATATTTATAATATGTATGTATTTAAAGTTATATATGTATAGTGTATCAACTATCTGGTATCAATAAAACAAGCCTTGTAGCTTACCCTGAAACTAGATGATACTGTGCATTCTTGTCTCAACATATTTATTTATATTTATTCAAAAAACTACTTACTTCTCAAACACGGGTTCATTGACCATAATATTCACTTCGGACTGTAAAATCTGGACACCTGTCAACTCCTGTGTAGCAAAAAGACAGGTCTGCAACATTGATTGCTTCAACTTCAACTCACTGATTGATGGTTCCAGCTCAACAGTAAACTCTACCTCCGAGTCGGAACTGAAATCATTATTATTACTAGAGACTCACCCTTAGTTGCTTCACTTGAGTTCGTTATGTTTTAAGCGTTAGTATGGAATAGATAGACTATATATTATATTATTACTAGCGACTCACCGTCGCTCCGCTCGGGTTCATCCCTGGGGTGGGGTCTGGGAGGACCACCCTTATCCTTATTACTTAGGGTTATGGAAAATAGATAGTAGCCGATTCTCAGACCTACTGAATATGCATATAAAATTTGGTAAAAATCGGTAAAGCCGTTTTGGAGGAGTACGGTAACTAACATTGTGACATGAAAATTTTATATATTAGAAGATAGCCTATAGCCTTCTTAAATAAACGGGTTATCTAATGCAACAAGATTTTTTTATATCGGATTGGTACTTTCTGAGATTAGCACATACAAACTCTGCCTCTTTATAATATTAGTATAGATCATATATTATCAGGTAGGCAGTTGAGGCAACTGAAAATGCTTGTATCCTGTTTGTGCCCACAAGTTACTCCTTTTGCAGTTCAGAAAATGATTATCCGATATATTTTTGAACTGGTTTACATTTTGGGCTTAAACTACATCTTCTGGCAGCTTATTCCACTCCGTGACTACATTATTACAAATTAATTGCTTTTAAGGGTTGTCGTTTGAAAAGCTGGTGTATAGCTCAAGATGGTCACCTCTGGCCCCTAAGGAGTGTTTTCATTATGAACCAAATATAAAACTACAAACATACATATCGATTTTGAATCATAATTGAGTACTAAATTAAATAAAGAATGTTAACATCACATCAGCGGTCGCGGATTCGAGTTCCACTGGGGGCATTCATCTGTGTGTGTTTATATTAATAAAATATAGGTATTTAAAGTTATATAATATGTGTAGTATATGAACTATCTGGTATCCATAACACAAGCCTCGTAGCTTACCATGGAACTGGTGTTGTGGTGTAGCTGTAGTGTTGTGTTAATATTCCAAATTATTTATTTCTTTGTAATGAATAATTTATATGTCTTACTCAAATTTCAATAATGATTATAGTCGAATTTCAAGTTTCGATACGAACTACACGAACACTACTATATTTAAATTGGAGTCTAAAGACGTTATACATCTTTATACCTAATTCTTACTTATCTCAAAATAAGCAATAAATGTATATTTATATAGTTTCACCTAACTTTGTTTTAGTTACCTTTCATCATAAAAACTATTATTATTCATTTTAATTCGTGCATCATCAATTCTTTTCTCGTAATACTTCATCTCCTTTAACAGTTCCTCTTTTCTCGCAAGCATTGATTGTATATCACGATTTCTTCTCGACATAATTATTTGTATAAATATACGTTTCAAAATTTTTGAATTTTAATTCAATAAATAACAAGAGTTTTGTTTTGCTTTCAAATTCAATTTCAAAATAACGCTTTAAAGTTTAAAAATGTCAAACTGAAGCGATTACTGTATTGCCATATAAAAAATGGTAAAATAATTAAGAAAAGTTTAAATAACTAACAAAATATTTGAGATTGTTCTAACACAATAATAAAATTATATAATACTTTCTTAGATTTACGCGAATATTTGACATTTTAAATAAAACTATCTTTTCGGATTTTGTCGCGGATTTATTTGCATTTTTGTTTCCCGAATTGAAAGCATTCGAAACGTCGGGAAACAAAAATGCAAATAAATCCGCGACAAAATCCGAAAAGATAGTTTTATTTAAAATTACATAGTTAACATTATTGTGAATGAATTATTGGAAATAAAAATAAATAAAACAATCTTTTATTTACATTTTATTATTTTAGAGACGAGTATCCATACGAAAACTTAATTATCTGTTACTTTACGTATAGGGCTGGCCACGTTTTAAATTATAAAATATCGATAAATTACTCGATATGATTAAGTTACAAGACCCAATTTTCATCCTAATTTCTAAGCAAATATTTATAAAAATTTGTAAAAAGTCTATTAATTCGATTACAAACTAAGTGCCTGTCAAGGTAAATCTTTTTTCTGATCTGACTCCCAAAAAATATTAATTTTGGTACTTTCCCTATTAAAAAACAAATAGGTATTGGTTTCTATGTGGCTTTTGTCGCTTTTGATGGGATTCTATTGGAGTTTTTCAACAAGGTTTGCCACACCTTTTATATTTTAAAGGATTACATTTTGAAAAAGTCTTGCTTCTTTCTTAGTGACTATTAATATAGGAATTAATAGCCTTTAATTTAACTATTCATGTCTAGCGATTTAATGTACATTGATGGTAGAGTCATAATAAGCAACATATGATTATAAAGACTTGGCAAGAGAAGAAGTCTTGGCAAGGTGACAGGTGGAGCAGGTTGAAAAGTGTTAGGTTTTTTAAAGATGCAGTTGAGCATATTCTGAATATCAATTTACTACATGCTTTGAACGTGATTCATTTTATTTCGTACTTTCACGTTAATCAATAATTGTGAAAAAACAACCACCACAATGTATAAATTTTATAATAAATCAAAATGTTATACGCATATATTTATTTTTATTAGTTGGATGTTTTATAAGTCTTTTTAATATAATAAGGTGGTTTAATAAATATTATGACTTAAAAATATTTACATACTACTGTTCGAATATTTTGCTTTTTATTTTTTTTAATAATCAGTAGCGCTATATAGCGCAAGTAATGTGTTCAATATCAAATTAATTTACAGAAGACACAAAGCAGATTGATTTGTGTGGCAGAAAATTTAGTACATTCAAGATTATTACTATTATTTTTTTTTACTATTATTTTTTTTAATATATCTATTAATTTATTATATTAAGGATATTATCATTACATGTGTAAGTATATTGTTATTACATATACATGTTATATTTTTCATAATGTAACTTTATTAAAATCGATTTTAGGCTTGTATCTCGATAATCGGTATCACACCTCGATTCTCGATCCAATATTGCAAATTGCAAATAGACGTCAATTGTCAACGCGATTAGAATTCTATGTAAATTGTAAATGTTGTAAAAAACATTGTTTATTAAATAAAATAATGTGATAAAACATATCTCGTGCAATATTTTTTTATACAAATATAATAGAATTAGATTGTTTTGATATTTACAAAACTTAGACAATAAGTTACCAGATTCTAATAAGAAATCCTAGTTTACACACGATAAATAAGTCCCGTTTAATTAAATAAATTTTATATGCAATATAAAAGTTCATAGTTCAGTTCGGTGTGTAATGTGTGTACGGACAGACTTATTATACATTGTTTATCAAATAGCGTTGTGATAATTAGAAATCGAGTGAAGTGTAAATTTTGAAAATGGGTCAAACCGGGAGTGCTATGCCAGGTAAGTGATTTTGTAAATAACAATTGATGTTTTCTAACAAGATTCTAACGAGATCACATTTACACGTTAGCATAACCTATATTTGTATTAAATGAGCAAACATGTGATTAAATTTATATTTGAACTTACATGTATATGTCAGATTATTCAGATTGTAATGTTTATATTTTATTTACTTATTTACTAGTCCAAAGTGTTTATTTACTTTATACCTTCAACAAATTACTTTATTGAAGAATTTTACTTCCAAAAAACCTATTAGCATTCACTATACCAATATGATTCTATTTATCATGATGGCAAATTATATTATTCATTAAATCTTCTATATACATATATATAAGGCAATACTGATTGACTGATGTATCAACACACAGGCCAAACCCTTAAACCCAGAAAATTGCATTTTCGCACACATATTCCTCATATGATGAAGGCATCCACTAAGAAAGGATTTCTCAAAATTCAACCCCCAAGGGGTGAAATAGAGGATAATATTTTGTATGAAACTTTTTATTCCTTGGACATATTTGCATGAAATTTCATATGAATTAAGTACAACAAAAATAATCAGTTACAAATTTCAACGTTTTCTAAAATTTAACCCCTAATAGGGGATGATAACATAAAGCCAAAGAGTTTTTTTTTTGTAGATTGAATGCGGGCGTAGCCTCGGGTTCTGCTAGTTTATTATAAAATTTAAAAAAAATTGCCTCTCCAAATAGTACTTATGAATAATTTTGTTGCATTAGATATTCGTTGTTTGATTTATAACTATGATTTCAAATTCAAGAACAAAACATTTTTTCTTCAATATGTTCTGTAATCCATACTAATATAATAAATGTGAAAGTGTGTTTGTTTGTCCTTTATTCATATTGAAACAGTATAATCTATTGGCATGATATTTCGTGTGGAGGACTTGGAGCACTCAAGATGCTACTTTTTACAGCAGGAGATTATCTCATTCCCATGAGAAAACACATTATAATACAACCCACACCCAACACATTATATCTATGTATATATAATATGGAGTCTATTCCATACTGAAATATACCTAGGGATGAATAAGTCGCCAGTATACAATAAGTTTTACTGTAACTTTCCCTTTGAAATTTACTAGTATTCAATATAATTTAGTTCCCTATGGATACTTAAAAACCTAATAGAATTAAATTCATTGTAATACACATAACATAATATAGCCTCATGTTTTAGTCAAACACCAAAGCAGAATACGATTCATTGGTGGAATTACTATGTTAAAATATTATAGACATTTTCTGCTGATGACCATGATGTTCTCAACCAGCTTTAGACTATATTATACTAGCAACTCTCCCTTGCTTTGCTCGGGTTCGTCCCTAGGTAAAAGGTAGATCCACGGTAAAAAGTAGCCTATGTTACTCTCCAGCCCTCCAACTATATCCACACAAAAAATCACGCCAATCCGTCACTCCGTTTCGACATGAAAGAAGGACAAACAAACAAACACATTTTCACATTTATTATATTAGTATGGATAGTCTATCTATTCCGTACTAATTGTTTAAACATATCTAGGGATGAATTTCGAGCAAAGGGATGGTGCGTTGTCAGTTGCCTATATATAGATTTAAATAGATATTCTTTATACATTACTAGCAGAACCCGCGGCTTCGCTCGCGCTAAAGCTACGAAAAACTTTAAAATGTAGGTTTCGTACAAACTTTCATCCCCTATTTTACCCCCTTATGGTATGAATTTCGAAAAATGCTAAAACATATTTAATTACATTGAAGAGCATTAATACCAAGTTTCAAGTTATTCTGATCATAAATATTTTTTTTGGTTGTATTATAACGTGTTTTCCCGTGGGAAAGAGATAATCTACCAAAGTAAAAAGTAGCCCATGTCACTCTTCAGCCCTCTGACTATCTGCACACAAAAAATCATCCCAATACGTCGCTCCATTTCAATGTGAAGGAAGGACAAACAAATAAATAAACAAACACACTTTCACATTTATAACATTAGTATGGATTTATTATGACATAAATAATATCTTCTCAGTAAAGTGTACATCCCACAAAAAAGTAACAAATATTATTAGGTAACTAGTTTTTGTTCGAAATCCATATTTCTTAGATATTCGGTTAGATATAGACCTATTCATTAAAAAAACTATACAATTGATGACAAATATTGTTTTTAAAATAAGTCAAATAATTTAAATTTATTTTGATATTAATGTTCATGATTATTATTATTTTACACAACATTTTATACCAAAAAAAAAAAAAAAGATTCAGACGAATTGAGAACCTCCTCCTTTTTGGAAGTCGGTTAAAAATGGAAGCAATTGAAGACTGTTGTTGTTATAGGAAGAATATTAATAATTAATATATTGATATTTTTTCAGTTTTAACATTTACACAATATTTTTTTCTATTTTTCACTACAGTATGCATTTAAGTGTAACATTTTGGTGTATTTCATGTTTCTGTGCTTTAATGGCTACCAAATTTTATATTTGTAGATTCAAATAAATAAAAAAAAACTCAAAAGTTTGCAAATAAAAAAAAATCTGTTTTTATTTAGTCAAAATGAAAAATAATTTACAAAAATAAAAAAATCTTACTGCGTATAAGGGAAACTAAGAAAGAAAGTACGAATTGATGTAGGAATATAGTATTATACAGTTGAAGGCATATAAAATTTATGTTTTTTGGGAGTCTTGCTACATGATGTTCTCCTGACCGATTCCGGCCACGGCGGCCAATCTCATTGAGACTAGCCAACTGCGCAGGAGATATTATAGTGCACAAGTGTACGCGCAGACACAAGTGCACTCTCTATTCCTGTCACTCTCATACTCCGGTGGGATGACACGAGACACGACCGGTGAGAGTTAAGGCGCAGGACCGACGGCTTTACGTGCTTTCCGAGGCACA